AAGCCCTAAACCCCGAAACCCCGAAAGCCTAAACCTTGAACGCTGAACCTGGGAGCGTGCCTAGCCGTCCAAGCAGCTTCTCCAGGAAGATGCAATTTCCAGCCTTTGCTGCAGCACAACAACTGCGATCTACGGTTTGGGGTTTAGGGTGGTTTAGGGCTTTAGGGGGGTATGGTTCTAGGGAGTTTGGGGTTTGGGGGCTTATAGGGCTCTTAGGGACATCTGCATGCCACGGGCATCCGGCACTAGACTCTACAATCGGCGAAGCACGAATGGCAGGTGCCGTCAGGACATGGAAGGATGCGCAGTACCCGACAAGCTCTTAGACCCGTAACTGTCTCAGCTAACAACCCCCAGGCTTGCCACCTTCTTCTCGGCCAGGTCGACTTCTGCTGGAAAGGGAACAGGAAGCTCCATGCCCTACTATACCTGCCTTACAAAGTTGAGCAGGGTTTTGGGGTTCAGATTCACCTCTCCCCCAAAAGCAGACACGACTGGGAGGATCCGGGCTGCATGTTGAAAATAGATTCTGAGCCTCTTCTGTGCCTGAGCCGTTTATCGCCCAGGCTCAGAAGTTGAATTCCACCAGTCCTGTCTTTGATGGGTTGGCGTCCCTGGAATACAGAATCTGAAACACTCGTCCATGATATGTCTGCATAGAAGGCAGATCGTGCCGGCGGGAATACCTGGCCATAGCCTCGAATACATGGGACTTTGCCGCAGCGTCAGAGGCCATATAACCCTCTCTGCAGAGAAGTTCCCTTACTTTATCATCCGAGGGCGGAAGACGCCAGTGGCCCGAGCTGAGATGCGACAGAAATGCTTCGCGGAGTAGGTCGTCAACGTGTGAACCTGTGTCTGTGAGGACAGGTAGGAGACCCTGCTTCCGCAAGGAATATCTATTGTCAGGAGCATTGACGAAGACCATCATTGCTTCTGTCAAATCGGAATTCATGCCATCATCCACGTAACCCAGCTTTCTGAGGTTCTCCGAGTCTGGCAGCACGAAGGGTCCGCCTCCTTTGAAGACTCGCCTTGCCTCAGTACTCCCGTAGATTTGCAACTGTGTGCTACTAGGCTTCCCCGGAGCTGGCTTGGGGAGCAGAAAGGCCGCTTGACCTGTGTCGCCGCGCTCTACCCATCTGCGTCCACAATAGCTCTTTGCAACAGCACAAACCGCCTTGATCGCACAGACGGGAGGGTAGACGATGAGAGAGCCCAGCTCATTCGCAAGCCAGAACTTTGCAGTAGCATGTGAGAGGTGCTCCCTGCTGGTTTTGCAAACATACCCGAGGTCTCTCAAGAAATCCTCGCAGAAGTCAACATCTCTGGAGTTGTCGAGGGGGGCTCGCAATGCCCCGGTGAGCCGCACGTGGCCACTTCCATCCTGATGAAGGAGAGCTCTGACTTTTGGACGTCGAACCAACTCCCCCTTTAGCTCCAGAACTTGAACACCGATGCTCCTGAACTGCCTGATGACGGCACGGCAACTGGAAGGAATGAGTACCGAGACGGTCTTCCCGTCTTCCATCATTTGCACCAGCATGTCGGCAAAGCCAAAATCAGAAGTAAAGAGCGCGATGCAGCCGGCGCTGGTTGACCGCTGTACTTGCAACAGTCTCTCCAAAACCGCAGCATCAGTCGCTTCGCCCAGAGTCCTCCGAGGCACTGCGTGAAAGTGGACGGAAGGTCGCTGCAACAACTTCTGCCACTTCTTGTTGTTGTCCCTTCCAGGTTGTGTAAAGACGTGCGCCTGCACTTGACTGCCGTCCTTTCTCAGCATATTGATCGCAGCTTCAATGGACTCAATGCTGTGGACGTCTGCATCTACAAGAAGTTCTGCGCAGTCTTGTCCGGAGGACTGCAATGATATTCTCCCTCCAGTCTGGTGGTAAGCAGCAGAGTGTATGGTCCTCTTTTCCTTGGCTCAGTCATCCCTTCTGCTGATCACGAACAGGCAACATCGCGTGGCATTTGTGCTGTTGTCGCGCATGACATGTGGAAAAGCCCGAGCCCATCTTACTTCAACAAAGAAATTCGTATCAACCGGAGCCTGCAAACTCATTCCAAAGGTTGGCCAAGAGTCTCTACAGCAGATCAAGGAACCGGAAATGATAAGCAGCCAGGCTTGCGGAGATCCTCGATCTTGCTGAGGTCTGAGGATCTGCACATCACGTCGTCGGCTTCGGCCACAGAAGGCTCCAGGGGCGCAGGATATGTGAGACGGCTGGCCATAGCAAAGAAGCGTCATGGCATGCAGCTCGCGGGGTTCGCGGGATTTAGGGTTTTGGGCTCTGGAACGCAGTGTGCCTACTAAGCTACTATATATCTGTGATGAGGTTATGTGCTATATGCCTCAACTCCGGGTTGTCAGACACTACCCCCACTACTTGCCGTCACTGGAGCGCTATAAACCCTAAACCCGAGGTCCAAGGGGTTCAGAAGCAAGCTCAAGCCACCAAAGCCCCAGCCCAGGCGCCTACAAGACCACAAGGAGATGAAAATATTAGTAAGATGAATAATAAGAAGAAGAACAATAACAATAACAAGAGTAGTAGTAGTAGTAGTAGTAGTAGTAGTAGTAGCAGCAATAATAGTACTCAGCAAAATGCGGCAAGTAGACCGGAAACACAACGAACACAGCGAGCTAAATTGGAGCTAAACCTAGCACAGGGCTCTTGATGTAGTGGTGCTTATGAACTGCAGTTTGGAGCTGTTGGCTTCGGTTGATGGAAAAACCCATCCGAAGTCCAGTGCATGCTGCATGTCTTCGGGAAGGAATTAAGGGCTTCGGCCTTAAGCCACATTTTGCAAGGTCCAGCAGGCCCCTACGCAGGGTCTGAAAAGTTAATAATAGTTTTAATTCTACTGATTCAATGCTCCCTGACATCATTTTGCAGTCTAGGGTTAGGGTTTAGGGCTTGGGGTCTACAGTAGTATGCCGCCCTAACCCTATTCTCATGAGTAAGATCCCTGTACTATCGAATCCTTAGCCATTACAGATCCCGGATCGATCCCGCAAATGAGCGCTGATAAGAACCCCAGTCTAGTCACCAGAGCCCCTCTATAAATCAGAACATCATACACAATCTATAAAACCCGAGTCCAGGTGTTGAGGCTAGTGTAGGGGCCTCAACAATTAAAACAGCGTTCTGGGCTCCTTTATAGTATAGTTATAGTTATGGTATAAGGAACCTAGGGAATAATATAGGTACCCTACCTTAAGAACCCAACACCTACTTTTTTGTAGGGTCCCTATAAATCCCATATTAGGGTTTATAATAAGAACCTACAAAAAAGTCGGTTTTGGGTTCTTAAGGTAGACCCTAAACCCTAAATTATTCAGGCTTCTATATTATGCTAGAAGCAGGCTGGGGGCCCCGGACCATCGGATGCACAAAGAGGAGGTCAGATGCCTCCTGACAGAGAGCTGAGTGAAAGGGCCCGGTCCAGTGTAGGTTTAGGGTTTAGGGTTTAGGGTTTAGGGTTCAGGGTTTGGGTTTTTGGGGATTGGGGCTTAGAGTATAAGGATTGCAAAATGTTCAGAGTTGTCACTGCTTTATTCCTATGTTACTCCGACCCTAAACCTTGGACCCTAAACCCTAAAACAAACCCTAAATGCTTGGGGTATACAGGGCCTAGGGAGTTTGGCGTTTCTTTATTTGACGCGCAGTGATCTATTTACGGCTTAGAGTCCCTGAGATCTTAGGGCTTCGAGGGTTTAGGGCTTATAGGGATTAGGGCTTAGAGGGTTTAGGGTTCAGGGTTTAGGGTTTACAGGGTTTAGGGCGCCTCGCGGCTTAGGGTTTAGGGCTTAGGATGTTGATACCCCAGTTGAGGGGTTTCGGCTTGGGGTTCTCGGGGTCCAGGTCGGCTGCATGTTCAGAGGTCTGCGGCCTTTGGGGCACACCGGCAAACCCCAAACCTAGTTAAAGGAAACTGCAGGTGGGGAGTTCAGGGTATATAGGGCTTCTATAAGGCTTTCATAAGGTATATAGACCTTCTATAGAAAGGCTCCTATAACGGTACCTACCCACCTGAAAATGTCCTAGACCAAACCCTAGACCCCAAAACCTGAACCCCAAGCTAAGCCTCTAAACCCGGTAACCGCCAACTTTCCTTCGGATGTACCCGACACCCTAAAAGTTATAGAGTAGATACTGAATAACGAACCCTGGACCCTCAAAGTTCTCAACCCCCCTCGACCAGAACAGGCTCTAATATAGAAGCCTAAATAAACAATATTTTGGGGGCTTCTTGATATACTATAGAGAGGCCCAAAACCCTATTCTAATTCTTTAGGCCCCTATATTAGGCATGGACGAACGAAGCTCCGGCGTAGTTGGCCATGAAAAAGGGCGGTCGATCGTCGGACCACGCGGCACCTCACTCATGTGCTAAGAGTAGAACTCGGATTTTGGTCAGGGCTTTGGATCCGCTTGCTTTGTACCACTGTGAGGTCATGCATTCATCTCCTGGTAAGCTCCAGGCACGCAGGGTCTCCCGCGCCGTCACGGCGCCCTGCCGCACGAAGAGTCTACCGTGATCCTTTGCCCTACGAGCATTCCGACCTTGGCGATGAATACATTTCATGAAGGTTCAAGCCCGAAACCGAACACCGCACAGAACCTGCGCAAAGCTCTGCTGCTGGAGTCGCAAGTCTGAAAGTGCTGTGCTAGACGCAGGATTTGCAGACCAGGAAAATTGCTAGAGGTCTCATGAGTTTGGGGTTGCTTCAGGGACTCGTGTGGTTGCTCTCAAACTCCAGAGTCTAGAGTTCCAGGTTCCATGTTTACGGAACAGGTTCGAGGTCAAGCTTAAATCTCCCACCCATTTAGTATAGGAGCCTTAATGATTGGAATAAGGTTTTGCGGCCCACAATACTATTATCATAATAAGGACCCCCCAAAATAACATAGGTAACTTTTTGGGCTCCTGCACTATAACTCTCTACTTCTACGACCTACTTAGGAGGTCCGCCCATATCCTGAGGAGTGCAGGGCGAAAGCGCCGCAAGCACTCGGGCTGCCCAGGCAGTCAAGCCCCCGACGACGAATTTCTACGATGCCCACCACCTATGATCAGGTTTAGGGTTTAGGGTTTAGGGTTTAGGGCAGCATGATGAAGAAGACGATTCTACATCCGTACGCAGTCGTGGCAACACCCTACACCCTAAACCCTAAACCCCAACACTTCGCTTTGTCTCCATGCGTTTTCATCGTTTCTCATTCTGCGCTTCGGCCGGCGCGACCACGCAAGGCGCGGCCCAGGGGACCCGATCCGCTGAGAGCCTTGGAGATGCGAAAGCTAAGAGGCAGCTTTCGGGGTGTAGGGCTTTTTTGTAGGGTTTAGGGTTTTGGGGTTTAGGGTTTTGGGGTTCAGGGTTTAGGGGCTTAGGGGTTTAGGGTTTAGGGTTTTGGGGTTTAGGACTTGGGATTAGGAGTTTTAGGACAGGGATCAGCAAAAGCAAAAGATGAACCGGCCAAGCCTTTGTCAGCATCACCGCCAAGAAGATCCAGTAGCGCACGGCCTAATCAAGAAGGGGGGATAACCAGGGTTTAGGGTTTAGGGTTTAAAGCAGCGGCTCCTCCTGTCAGAAAACCGGTAGAAAGGAGGCCTAAACCCCAAACCTAACCCCACATCTCTTCAAGAGAGCAGCCAAGGATAGGAAGACCACTTCCAGCCCCCAGTGGAAGTAGTTCACGCCGCAGAGGATAAGGGCCTTGAGGCTTTAGGCCGTTAGGATTTGGAGTTTTGATTTCGCGTAATGTAGGGGCCTAGATAATGAGAATGGGGTTTTGGGGTTCATTATACTATAATTATAATGAGGAACCCCCAAACATAGTATTGGTCATTGTTTAGGCCCCTATATTAGGTGCTTTGAAGTCTGCGTGTGTCCTCATCTCATTCCCCAAAAATTTCGGAGATCAAGACCAGCAGACATCCATGAATCTATCACTTGGGACCTAGCGCTTCTGGGGGGTACGGTTCAGGGCTTCGGGGTTTTAGGCCTCGGGTTCCCGGTAGACGCCATAGCTCTAACCCCCGGGACCACAAAGGCTTTGAGGTTCCGAATCAAGGGTTCTCTTGCAGAATAATGTAGGGTGATGAGAATAGGGTTTGGGGGTATATTATACTGTATATGATTTTTTATAGGGAACCCCTAGAATAGTATAGGTAGTTAGTTAGGCCCCCCCATATTAGTCAGAAGTCAGAAGATCTTCGTCCCCCGTAAAGGCTCCAGAAATGCCACAAACCCTCGCCAGGGTTGAGGTCTCAAGGATTCTCGGTGTTTTTAGGGGCCGGTTCCAATTCTCCTGCCGAAGCCCGCCAAAGCAAGATCTGACAGCAACGTCGGTTTAGGGTTTAGGGTTTAGGGCGTGCTACATTATTCTCGCGGCATTGTACAACCTCACCTGTACATCAAGAAGGAATCACCGTGCGATCATTTTAGGAACTCATGCTCTACTTAACAAGCTGCTCCAGAGACCTTCTACCTTACACCGCAACTTTCACTCGAACCGTCAAGATCGCATCCAACCCTTTTCAACACCAAACAAAACCAATAGCACTTAGTACACCCCCTGGCTAAACCCTCATAGAACCATGTTAAACTGTGAAACTCAAAAAGCTGAAAATGGTAGTTGAATCCCCACAAAACCTTCCGAACCAATAAAAACCTTGTGCCCCCTGTGTTCGCAGTTGTTGAGGATCCGATGTTACCCTAGCTTCGCCAAGGTGCTTGGAGGGACGTTGTCAGAACCGTCGTCTTGATGACGAGCGGAAACCTGAACGGATGCCGCAATTGGTAGCAACAACAATAACGAACAACAGCAAGAGGAAGAGCAGGAATCACAAGGGTGCAGGGTCTCGTTGTAGCCAGCCAACCGCAAAACCCTAAACACCTAAACCCCAAAACTCGAGGCTTTGATCTTCCCGGTTCAGGAGTTCAGACTTCTCATTTTGAGGGGCTTCCCCTGCAATTCTTCTGTGTACGAAGGCTTCACTTGCCATTGCCAAGGCTTCTGTCTGGTCCCTTTCTGCCGAAACCGCAACATCTCGACGGTTACGGCCCTCAACACGGCTTAGGGCCGCGAAAGCCCTAAACTGCAAACCCTGAGCCTTAATTACCCAAAAAAACCATGCGCCAAAACGAAAGGCTTATTCCCTACATCCCCAAACCCTAAAGCCGAAACCCTAAAGTCCTAAAGCCCTCCCAGTCGACTCGCTGGTTCAAAGAGCCCTAACAAAGCGAGGAGGATTTGAGAGCCTTTCATGGTTATACTTATGCAGCCTATAAGGCTATCAGGGACTGTTACTTATTCAGACCCCATTGCTAGAGCTGCCCAAACAATGAAGAGAAGTAGCTCCTAAACCCCAAACCATAAACCCTAAAGCATAAATCCTAAGCCCTAAACCCTGAACCATAGTTCGGGCTCGCCCCGAAACTCCCACGAGGGCTCCCCAACGAGAAGCGTAGCATCCTCAAAGCCTGCACCCCAAGCTGCGTAGACTGAATTAGGGTTTAGGGTTTAGGGGTTTAGGATTTAGGGTACAGAGTCATGAGACTTTTGTAGCTATGGTTAAGTATGAGGAAGGTATTGTTCTGCTTACATAACCTTGCATATACGCCCCAAGCGCAGTAAGGTGCCTACTTACGAAGACCCTGAACTATTTTAAGTATGGTTTAGGGATAGGGTTGAACACGCAGCCTCAAAACTTAGGCGTCAGGGCCCGCAACCTCTAAATCAGGACTTGACTTTGTGATTCCGGGCGAACCCTTTTGAAACCCCATGTAGAACCGCTAAAGAACCCTGAATTCTAGAAGCCTTGCAGAACCGCCACAGAACCCTTATCTTACTCAACCCTAAATTCAATAAATCCGGAGTCGAGTTGCTCCTTCGCTGCAAGCATGGTGCCATCGCAAGCCTGGCGCAACACCCTCGACCCCGGATCTGACTAGGAGTGGCTATGGTTTAAGGTTCAGGGTTTAAGGTTCAGGGTTTCGGGATTTGGGTTGAGGGCTTCTTGCTTTGGGCTTAGGGTTTAGCCAGTCTACCCGAAACCTGCACTCTAAATCCGTGAAGCCTAGCCAACCCTCAAGCCCGAGACCTTCAAATCGCAGATGTGTACCCAGGGTCCAGATCTTATCTTGCGCTACTATAACTCGAACAGTGTTTTGGGGTATATATATATACACAGTATACTATAAACTATACCTATATAAGGAACCGTGAACCCTAAGGGATAATCCTAAACCCTAAACCCTAAACCCTAAACCTAATAGTTGTATGGGATTCTCCATTACAGGCTGCGTGTAGCGGCACAGCACGTACATCGCACGGGGAACATCCGACTTTGGGTCATGTGCCGGTGACCCAGAGGGCTTTGGGTTTAGGGTTTAGGGTTTAGGGTTTAGGGTTTAGGGTTTAGGGTTTAGGGTTCAGGGGAGGGCTTTGGGTTCAAACTGCACTCATGCCACCATAATATACTATAATATACCTTAATATACCAGAATATGCCGTAATATACCAAAATAAACCATTATATACCGTAGCATACCATAATAGACCATGACATACCATAACCAAACGATAATATAGTATCGATAGTAACATCTTGGACACCAAACCGCCCCCACGGCCCCCTGCTCTGCTCTTCGCCGGAAAAAGCTCTGCAAACCGCTCGCGGAGCATCAACGAACTCAGCAATAAGGTGACTGCACTTAAGGTTTAGGGTTTAGGGTTTAGGGTTTAGGGTTTAGGGTTTAGGGTTTAGGGTTTAGGGTTTAAGGAAGCCACACTGTGGGCACCCGCCACTCTGACTACAATCTACTTACGCGTCTTCTCGTTCTTAAATGGAGCCTTGCAAGCTGCACAACCACCATCCCCGACCTCTGACCCAGTCCTCTACACCCTTGACCAAAACCCCTACTATACTGAACTTGGGACCCTAGCAGAGATGGTAATGTTAGGCTGTTTCTTAGGGCTTATGATAGCAAAAAGACTTCGAGCTATTTCTATCTACCCCTAGGCCTAAACCTCAACACTCGAAGCCTCTGAAACCGGGTTAGACGAATCACCCTATCCTCCCGGCGCCTGGGATAAGATTAATGAGCTGATGGTGATGGGAACCTCAGCTCAGTGGCTGCACCAGGCTCCAAAACTGAGATCCTCGCTAGAGGATTTCGGGCTTCGGGTCTCCGGCTTAAGGTCTAGAGTTTAGAGTTTAAGGTTTAGGGTTTACGGTTNNTTTAAGGTTTAAGGTTTGGGGTTTCGGGTATAGCTATAGGGCCAAGGCAAGGCTTTTAGACAGCGAAGTAGAGGCCTGAGGAACTCAATGCAAGAAAGGGAGGTATGGTTTAGGGTTTAGGGTTTAGGGTTTAGGGTTGAAGGGTTTAGGGTTTAGGGACATTAACCTACAGTTGATGATATAAATCTGCCTTACCCATAACCGGTAATATAACATAATTCCTATAGTTCAGGGCCCTTAAGATAATGCAGGATTTATACCATCAACAG